CGTCCAGCTATTTCTGTATTACTGAAGTTAGTTAATGGTGCAAGTTTAAATTCACCCTCTCCTTGTCTTAGCGTAACCAGAAACCTGGATGCCATTCTAGGCTCTGCTTAGATTCTCTTCTTCCTTAGTCCTCAGTCCAGTCATTTGAGTTCTAACAGTTTCCCTTCTAATGATTCATCAAATACAACATTTATCTCTATCTTCCACTATTCCTGTCCTTACTAGCATCCTAATCTCTACCCTGCACAGCTGCAATCAACAGCCATTTGATGTCCTTGGTCCCTCAAAATCATCTTCTACATTGCTGCCAGAGTGATCTATCAAAAATGCAAATCTGGTCATGTCATGTTAGTGGCTGCCTGTGAGCTAAGGGTGAAGTCCAGGGTCCTCAGCATGGCCCCCAGGCCCTCAAATCAGTGGCCCTCTCCAACCTCAGTTCCTTCCTGTCACCCCCTGCATCATACTTACCTCCCTGGCATTGCTCTGCTGTTTGCCTGCCTGAGCACACATGCTGCTTCACACCTTTGATCTGATGTCACCCGCTGAAAGGCCTTCTAGATTTTACACTCTGTGCATCCTTCTGTCACAGCAGTTAAACCAGTCTGTGACAACTATCTCTGTACCTGTGTCCCACATAGGCTTGTAAAGCCACTGATGGCAGGTGCCTAGTTTAGTTCAAAACTCATCTTTCTCTCTTCAGGGCCTGGCATAGCAGTGCTCCCTAACTTGGGGCCACAGACTGGTTGGTATGGGTCCATGGCCTGTTAGGAACAGAGCCACACAACAGGTGAGCAGTGGGTGAGAATTATGGCCCGAGTGCCATCTCCTGTCAGACCAGCAGTGGCGTTAGATTCTCATAGGAGTACCTATTGTTAACTGTGCACGCACATGAGCTCATTATGAGAATTTAATGCCTGATGATCTGAGGTGGAATTGTTTCATCCCAAAACTATCCCCTCCCTTGACCCAGTCCATGGAAAAATTGTCTTTCACAAAATTGGTTCTTGGTGCCAAAAAGGTAGGGGACTGCTGTGGTATAGCACTGGGCAAAATATGCTTCAGAGAAGTTTTGTAGAAGCACTGAGGGAAAAGAATGACATACAGCAATGAGACCTGTTTGGGTGGAGGGAGGGATGGGAGTGGAGACTATGAGATGAAGAGAGTAGGGAAAACTTTTGTTCAAAGAAGGTAACAACTGAGCTGAGTCTTGAATGAAGAGGAGGCACTCTAGACAGAAGCAATAAAGGACCTGCAGGATAGAACAGTACTGGCAAAGGCCTGGAGGCCCAAGAGGATGTGGCACATAGGAAACTACAACTGATGATGATAGAGGACAGGATACATAGGTGGGACCTTGACTGAGACTGGAGGAACAGACAGGGCTCATGCTATCAAAACATGGCCTATATTTTATGTCTTGCAAGAGCGTTCCAAAGTATTTATTTCACTATTCCAATTACTTTAGGCACCACAATTTGCAGGTCATTAAAACATTTTTACTAGTCTACTTTTGATTGCTTATCCAGCACTGCCTGTTATTACTTTTTTTTTTTTTCAGACGGAATTTCGCTCTTGTTACCCAGGCTGGAGTGCAATGGTGTGTTCTCGGCTCACCGCAACCTCCGCCTCCTGGGATCAGGCAATTCTCCTGCCTCAGCCTCCCGAGTAGCTGGGATTACAGGCACGTGCCAACATGCCCAGCTAATTTTTTTGTATTTTTAGTAGAGACAGGGTTTCACCGTGTTGACCAGGAAGGTCTCAATCTCTTGACCTTGTGATCCACCCGCCTCGGCCTCCCAACTATATTACTTTTGATAGGTGACTTAACCTCCCTGTGCCTCAGCTGCCCTACGGGGTCATAAAAATAGTACCTACCTCACTAGATTACTGTCAAAAATAAACATGTTAATAGACATGAAGATGATAAGATAGCAGTCGCACACAGAATTGATCAGTGGATGCTGTATTGCTATTGATTTGCCATCAGTGACAAATAGCTGCTGAGATTAGAGTGGAGGGAAGGGACTGTTCTTGAAATCCACAAGACACAGCCTTAATGTAAAAGAAGGACATATTTTATAACAAGTAAGTTTATCTTGGGAGATGACAGTAGCAGAAACCTAAGTTTTTAGGTCCATGATCTCAGGCAACAGTATAAAATGATTACCAGACTCCTTTGAATAATACATTTATATTTGGGTAGTAAATTTAGCTGAAAATTATATGTTTAAGTATAATTTGACCAATTATTTTCTGAATGTATATCATCTTACAGTTGTCCATACTGAAAGCCATTTTCAATTTTCTGCCTTTCAGGTACAGCCTTGAATGATTTTCCTGCAGTCTGAATAATTTTCCTGTTGAGTTTCTTGAATGATTTTCCTGTTCAGTTGGCAACTACTCATTTGAAAATAATTGGGATTCATTTGCTCATAAATCACTTCCAAAGAGAATTTCAGAAATAGAAGGGTCCTTAGAGACTGTCTAGTCCAACAGTCTATTTCACAAACAAGAGCTCTGAAAAACAGAGATTGAGTGACAAGTCCAAGTTATAGTCTTTGAGGGTTCCACCTTGACTTTCTACATGCTCTCACATAGACCCTCTCCCTGCCATTTTCTTTAGTGTGTGAACTCCCTGCTGGTTCCAAGTCCTTAGGTATCCTCAGTCTAAATAACAAAGTATCTTCCTCCAGACTATGGTGAAATCAAATGGTTTCTATGTATATAACGTGCATATTTCATGTGTTCCCTCAACAGACTTGGTTAAGTACTTGGTGCTAGGTGTTTGTTTAATCTTGCTAAAAATTCCACCAGTATGCCTATTATTACACTCATTACTCTCCAAAGTCAAAGTCATTAAGTAAAATCATGTTCTCCGGTGAAATTTAACCACTTAACTGGGTGGATACGACTTCAGGGGTATGACCTAGATGCTGTTCTCAAATTTGCAGAATGAACATGTTTTCTAAGCAGGTTTCTAAACATTTGAGAGTCACTGCTTAAGAGGCTTACTGTTCCTTTCTTCTGACAGAGGTTGTTCAGGTCGGTCTGCCAACTCACACACCTGGTAGAGGGGAGCCTACCTAACCAGGTGTGTTCCAAGGGTAGGCTCTGCTCCTATGACATCCAGTCCATAGGCTGGCCAGTCACCTAAGTGAGGCTTGGGGTAAAGACATGATTGATCGAGTCAGATTTTTTCTCAGGGGAATATGGCTTAAAATCAGAGAGGAGTAGCAGTTAGTCAAAACCAAACCAAACCAAACAACACATCTGAAAAAAATGCAGAGAGAATCCATAAGGAAATGATGGGTCAGAAGCAGCAACAAAGTGAAAGTAGAGGTTCTGAATTAGAAAAAACCATACAGGCCGGGCGCGGTGGCTCACGCCTGTAATCCCAGCTCTTTGGGAGGCAGAGGCAGGTGAGTCGCTTGAGTTGGGAGTTTGAGACTAGCTTGGCCAACATGGCGAAATCTCGTCTCTACTAAAAATGCAAAAAATTAGCCAGGCGTGGTGGCGGGCGCCTGTAATCCCAGCTATTCGGGAGACTGAGGCAGGATAATCACTTGAACCCCGTGGGGCGGAGGTTGCAGTGAGCTGAGATTACGCCGCTGCACTCCAGCCTGGGCAGCAACAGAAAAAGAATCATAGGCAAATAGGGGAATGGTGAGGCATGTAAAAAAGTGAATGTGTTATATTAAAGATGTAAGAGTTTAGACCCTCAGTGTCCTGCTATCAAGGTCAATAAGCAGGATCTGTCTGGTGAGCCAGGATAAACTGAGGTTTCAGCTCCAAAGCCTGTGAGGTCCTTTTTCCTTTACCGCTAAGCCTTTCCATCGTACCCTAAATAGAACGGATTTGATTCTGGCAACCAAAAGAACTCTTTACGACACCTGGGAAACTTTAGGGAGGTGCTAGCGTGTGCCTTAAGCTTTTTAGCTGTGTGCTACTCACTGGCCATTTCCACGCTCTAGGGAAGTTTTACGTATGCAACATATTGGCCTTAACTTCACCAATGGCTGATTTCCATCTTTTTTTTCTCTTCTGCAGAAACATAACACTAATCATGCTCCGAGAGCACCAACCAAGGTAGACTTTAGGGGGAAAACGTTATAAGACGTGAACGTCTTCCCTGGTAGAAAGAAGAGCAAGCCCTCCGCTCCTCCCCGAGGTCTCAGAGGCCACACCTGCAGGCAGGAGCACGCTTTTCTATGGCGGAACCCGGTCCCTTTCTCGCGGCCGCCGGCGCAGGACGGTGGTTCCAAGGACATTCCGCGGCAGCCCGCGCCCCCGGCCCCCGGCCACCGGCCCCCGGCCCCCGGTCCCCGGCGACCGCCGCGTCACCTGTAATTGTAGGCGCTGAAACGCTTGCTTTCTCTCAGCATAGCCCGGTACAGATCTAACACTTGTGCGCGGCTGGAGGCTGCCATTTTGGAAAGAAAAAAACAAACGGGTCCTCTTCGGAGAGGTCCCAAGTCCAGCCCAACCCACGGAACTTCAGCCTGTGCAGAAACTACGAACGAAATAAAGTGCGGCGGCTCGGCCTTGCCAGCTAGGCGGGCACCCCTGAGGACCGCAGACGGCACCCGGCATCCCGGGCCTCTTCCAAGGCGGGCACAGGCAGGCCTCGGGGCAGCTAAGGGGGCGGTGCCTGGAGGGAGGTGCCTCCGCTCCGCCCAGCCCCCGGCTGGAGGCTCTGGACCCAGCAGCCGCTCCAAGCGGCTGAAAGGCGGGGAAACTAGAGGCCTGGCCGTCGGGGCATCCAGCCAAGCCCCTGGGGGACGAAGATCGGAGGCGCGAGCATCCGAGAGAACTGCAGTTGCACCACGGAGAGCCTTTGCGAACCGTCCGGGGTCTTGGAGGGGACATTTGTGTTTCAAGGCGCAGCGGCCCTTAGTACCTCCAGGAGGCTGCGTTGCCAGGGTTACCGAAGGCCGCCGCGCCGAAGGCCCGCCCTTGACCGCCGATTCCCCGCCCCCACTGGCTGCGGCCGCCCTCAGTGCTGCCTGAGAGGCCTTGCGGGATTTCAAGGGTGACTTGACTTCGCCCGATCCTGCTCGGCTGGATGGGGTTTCATGGCCTTCTCTATGTTGGGAGGCGCGATGTCTGGGTGTGGAGGTGATGAGCCAGGGGTTCTGTGGTACTCCGGCGCTGCTCAGGGCGACCTGCATAGGGGCCTGCGGGACAGGCCCGCTTTCTGTCAAAATGGCGGTGCCCAGCGTACAGGGGTGTCTCTTCAGTTGGGGTTTAAGATTCTTGCCCTGAGAGCGAACTAGCCTGCCACGCTTCCGATTTTGAAACACTTGGGTCTGGGTTTCCCGGGAGAGCGGTGGGTGAGTGCCGGCCTCGTTGCAGCCTGGGGTGCGACGTGGGCAGTTGGTGTGGTAGGGGGTTTACATTGGCCGTGGATTTTTTTCCTCTTTCCTGATGTGGATTTGCTTTTGAGTGAAGTGTCCCCGTGGTTTTGTAAACTAATAAATTTGTAAAATGCAGCCTGGCTGTAGACCTCGGAGAATAATTAGAGACCTTTAGGGGTTTAGGTATTCTCCAAGAAGCAGAGCAAGTTTTCTCCCATGGCTTGACCTAAACTTTTTTGAATTACCTTATTAAAGTGGTGGATAAAGTTGCTTGTTCTAATTTTTGAGCATGGGACTGGAGGCAGGGAAGCCTCAGCCAATTCTAGTACTGTGTTCGCAAAGCAATTTTCTTATTTTTGGAATCTTGCTTTACATAACCTTAGGAAGAACGACACCTTTCTGCATTCAAGCACAGTGAGGAGTACCTTTATACGTAAAAACAAAAGGGCTGGACGCAGTGGCTCCCGCCTGTAATCCCAGCACTTTGGGAGGCCGAGGCGGGCGGATCATGAGGTTAAGAGTTCAAGACCAGACTGGCCAACATGGTGAAACCCCGTCGTTGTGACATGGTAAAAGCCCCATAAAGCTGCATACCTCAACCATACCTAGGCTTTGTGTTGAAACTGCTCTCTGTAACCCTGATGTGACAGGCAAGCAGTCCAAACCCACGCCATCTTGGCCCCTGCGACTTGTAATAAGTAACTAAGGTCTGTAATTTCCACCCATATCCAGACAACGTGTAAACTAACACTTATCTTGACTTCTGTAAACCGCTTAAGCCACAATCGGAATATCCAAAGCCCTCTGGCCCTGGGAATGTCCGGAGCCCCTCACTCTCATCTCCGCCCCAGAGGTAATTTACGGAATCCACTGGCCCTTGGAATGTCTAAAGCCCCTCACCCTCACCCCCAAGGTGGTTTACAGGCGTAAAAGTTCTTGACACCCTCCTTTCAGGGCCACGGGTTGGAGAGACGAGAGTCCTCCGTGACCGCCGGCAATTAAGACCCTGCAATTTGGCATACTTTTGTCTTGGTGTTAACTTTCTATGCTCGGGCCAGTACAACACGCTACTGAAAAATACAAAAATTGGCTCGGCCTGGTGACTCGTGCCTGTAATCCTAGCTACTTGGGAGGCTAATGGAGGAGAATCAGGGACCTGGGAGGTGGAGGTTGCAGTAAGCCAGTTACAATTGTTTCTACCTATTAAGGAATTTAATCATTAATGTATATAATTAATGTATCTAAATGACTCAACTTTGTGGTAATCAAATAAAACTTCCAAGTAAATATGTATAGTTTAGATAGTTTGGGTAGCCTTGTCCTCTGTTAGTACAAGCAATGGTTGCAGTTAGGAAAGCGATAGCTTCCCAGTTAATTCTGAGCCAAGTCTTCACAAAAATACCTCATTATTTTATTTAAAATGGTTTACCAGTTTGATGGACATCATTGCCTTGAGAGGCTAATAGAAAATATTAATTCAAAAGCTACATCTCACTTTTGCATATCTTTATTGTGGAGATGCCTTTTTTTGTTTTTAAAAAAGAAGAAAGTAACTCTATTTGAGACTGTAAGTAGAATGGGCCAGAAGCTGAAGAATGGACCATACCCATATGTTCCTTAACATGCATTCTGTTCTGGGTTGAAATTTTTCTTAGGGAATATCTACAATAGGAGGTACCATTTAGGAATCAAAACATAAAAATTTCTTTAGTATTCGTTTTTCGTTTATCCAAAGTTATCAAGTAACTATAGTTCTTTATGTAAAATCTTGTATTATCTTCTATTAAAATTAGGGTTGTCCATGACCACCTAGTGCTGTGTGAAGAGAAATTTCTCAAATCATAATAAACAGCATAACAACAATTTACTGTCCTGAAGCTTAAATATCAAAGTGATGTATGGAGTAAAATTTGTATAGAAATAGTAACTTATGATATTATTTAGAAATTATTCAGGTGGGCATGGTGCTGTACACCTGTAATCCTAGCACTTTGGGAGGCCGAGGCAGGTAGATTACTTGAGCCCAGGAGTTTGAGACCAGCTTGGACAACATGGCAAAACCCCATCTATACAAAAAAATACATCATAGCAAACCTCATCTCTACACAAAAAGTACAAAAATTAGCTGGGAGTGGTGGCAGGTGCCTGTAGTCCCAGCTACTCAGGAGACAGCGTGTAGTCCCAGATACTCAGGAGACTGAGGTGGGAGGATTGCTTGAGTCCTGGAGGTCGAGGCTGTGTTGAGCCATAATCACGGTACTGCACTATAGCCTGAGCAGCAGAGTGAGACCCTCTCCAAAAAAAAAAAAACCAAAAGAAAAAAAATTTTTCTATCCTACACCAGACATGAATCTAAGTATTATACATTGATCCTTCATTTTAATAGAATATGAAGGGGGAAGACCTTATATATCAACTCATTCATTTGTATAGATGAACAAACTCAAGCCTTCCTCATTCCTTCCTTCCTTCAGCATTTATTGAAGACTTCGTAAGTACCATAATTTATTATTTTTTTTTGTTTTTTGTTTTTTTTTTGAGACGGAGTTTCACTCTTGTTGCCCAGGCTGGAGTGCAATGGCGCAATCTCAGCTCACTGCAATCTCTACCTCCCGGGTTCAAGCGATTCTTCTTCCTCAGCCTCCCAAGTGGCTGGGATCACGGGTGTACACAACCATGCCTGGCTAATTTTTTGTATTTTTAGTAGAGATGGAGTTTCACCATGTTAGCCAGGCTGGACTCGAACTCCTGACCTCAGGGGATCCACCTGCTTTGGCCTCCTAAAGTGTGGGGATTATAGGTGTGAGCCACGGTGCCTGGCCAATAAGTACCATAACATATGAGGACAAAACTATAAGATGACATAGTTACAGTGATGAGAGCCTCCCCACCCCTAAGAAACCTGTAGGTGATTAGATAAACCAAACAATAATTTATAGAGACAGGTTCTCGCTCTGCTTCCTAAGCTGGAGTGCAGGGGTATGATCATAGCTCATTTAAACTTCAAACTCCTGAAGTGATTTTCCTGCCTCAGCCTCCCAAGTAGCTAGGTCTATAGGCTCATGCTACCATGTCTGGCAAATTAGAAAACTTTTTTTTTTTTTTTTGGTAGAGATAAGATTTCACTATGATGTCCAGTATGGTCTCAAACCCCTCAGTGCATTTCCTGCCTTGGCCTCCCAAAGAGTTCAGCTTATAACTATGAAGTGTGAGCCGTGGCACTTGGCCAATAATTTCTTTTTGACAGTTGCTGTGATAAGAGCAATAATTTAGCAAATACTAAAGGAATACAGAAGAGGAATATTGAACTAGGACTTTCACCTAAGGGAAGGCTTTCCATCATAGGTGTTTCTAGAATGAATAGTAAGAGCCAGATGAGGAATGTGGTTAAAGATTGTATTGTATATTCCAAGCATGGAGGCAGAAGGGTGCTTGATCTATTTAGAGAACTCTAAGTGTTTTAGGATGGTAGGAGGTGGGAAGGGAGGGACCGCAGAAGTGGTTAGCCCTGCACTAACTTTATTTTAGTGATGTTTTTCCTATTTCTGGAATAAATCATTTCTTCCATTATGCATTGGCTGAGTCATATAAGTATAGCTTAACAGCTGAGCTGTTGAAATGGAAACTATTTATTCAGGTATGGATAGCCTTTTGTTTCAGATCATGAATTTGAATCCTATATTTGAGAGGCAGTGAAATTTTATTTGTGCATTCAAAAGATAGCCGGCAGCCTGGTAGTTCAAGTTTCTGTTCTCGCAATGATAACTTGAGGATGATGTAGAAATCAAACATGGATCCCGTTTTCCAGAAGTTTATACTTTAAATACATTTGTATATAATTAAAATAAGGAGTAGGAGATATTAGGTTGGTGCAAGAGTAATTGGGGATTTGACCATTAAAAGTAATGATCAAAACTGCAGTTCCTTTTGCACCAACCTATACAAAGTGCTTCAAGGAAAGGGCTGGTGAAGCGTCACTGGGTCTCAGTGTAAGAAGTCACTTCCATCCCTTATGCTTGGGCCACACCTCAGACCAACAGCAGGGCTGAGGCCCAGGCTTCAGAGATTTTTGTTTAATTGTTTTTTAAGTTTCCTCCATGATTGGGTATAGCCAGGGCTGAGAAACACTGATATGAAGGAATCAGGAGGCTTCATGGAGGAGGTAATGTTTGTATTGGGCTTGAGAAGATTTAAGTTTCTTCTGGGCCTTGAAAGGAATTGAAGGATTTGAATGGGTGTGTGGTGGTAAGATGGCTACTGTAGGTGGAAGACGATTTACGCTTTGCCTTGAAAGGGTGAAGAGAAACCCTGATTGAGGTCTAAGAGAAAAACACTCATGACCTGGGAGGGGCTTTGGCCAGATCTGTAGAGTGCATGAGGGTGAGAACAGGGAGATCCCATGGAAATGTGATACATGGACTTTCATATGTGTTAGGCACGAGATGAGCTGAGTCCCAAATGATTTGAGTTAATCTTTCCATGACTCAATAAAAGAGCTGTTATCTCCATTTAAGAAAAGTGAAGCTGGCCCGGTGTGGTGGCTAACATCTGTAATCCCAGCACTTTGGGAGGCTGAGGAGGGAGGATCACTTGAGCTCGGGAATTTGAGACCAGCCTGGGTAACACAGCAAGATGCCATCTCAATATAATAATAATAATAAAGAAACGACAACAAAAAAATGAAGCTGAGAGTTTCTTTAGCCAGGATCAGACAGCTAGAAAGTAGCTAGGGTAGGCGTTGGCCTGAGATGAGAGCTGTCTAGCTACAATGCAGCACTGCTTCACAGAGAAAGTACCACCTTCAGGAATTTGAAGCTTATTGATTTTTCTTGGATAACATGGGTAAATTTTAGTCATATTTGAAGTTTAATTTAGTTGGAGTCTCACTTATTTGTAAAGCTAACCAATTTGTATAGGAAATATTATAAATATTCAGGGAATCTTAAATGTTGATTTTTATACCAGCTTTTTAGTTA